GGAGAGAAGGCGAGCAGCGGGATAGGGAACAGGGGACCGAGGGCAAGAGAGAATCAAAGTGGAAGAACAGGAAAGCAAGGGAAAGGAACACAAAGGAGCGAGAGAGATCGAGGTAAGAGTGGAGAGAAGGCGAGCAGCGGGATAGGGAATAGGGGACCGAGGGCAAGAGATAATGAAAGTGGAAGAACAGGAAAGCAAGGGAGATAGGAACACAAAGAGTGTCAAAAGGACAGATTGAAAAAGGGAGGGAGACTGGGTCAAACGTTGACTGATCTGCAAAAAAGCCGAAAGGCGGAGCAACAAGAATACTCAGAGGCTGAAGTCCAAACTGGAACTCCTTACCTTAAATGCTAGAAGTCTAAAACCCAAATCGGGAAATATGTTTTCATTACGCAGGCACCTTCACCTTCTTCAATGCGTTTGGGAGCCCTGCTCATGTGGGATTCTTGCATGGAAACATACTTTATTTAACTGCTGCAGTGCTCCTCAGGGAAATCATCAGGGTCCAAAGAGCACCCACCAGTTCTGGCAGTTGCCCATGAGCACTCTCCTACACCGCTTTCCTGTCCGGCCCTCACCGCTGACTGTTTCCCAAACTCATTGCCCTGACTCTGGGCCCTGCCTGGCSKCMATCTCTCTCCCAWTCTGCCCCCCCCCCCCCCCCCCCCCCCCCCCCCCCCCYSYCTGGCTCTGTCCCCTGCCTCCTCCTTTGTCTCCGTCCCTGCATCACAAGAATGCATATTATCGGAGAGAAACCACCTGCCGATCACCATTTCTGGGTCTCTATTCCATCCTTCTGAATCCTCTCTTATATTCTTTCGTCCTGCCCATCATCCTCTTCGCCCTTTTCCTCATGATCTCTGTCTAAATTAACTTTAATTAACTCCCCCCTCTCTCTCTCCCCTTCCCTTTCCCACTTTGCCCCATCCCTAAGCTTCCCCTGTTGCTTTCCGTTTTTCCATCCCTAGAAGGGGGATACGCGGGCAAGGACCCGGCTTTGGAGAATCTGGAGATCGCTGTGTGTTTACTGTGACATGCAATGCGTCACATGTGGTGATCTATATACTATGTGCTATGTACTCTACGACTTTTGTCGATTCGCAGGGCATCGAGTCGATGATTGCGGACGCACTGAAGGCGGCTGATCCTGTCTTCAGGCTTAAAGAGGCCATTGAAGACCCAAGAGAGTTCATGAAGGTGCTGTACTATTCACTTTTTTTTTTTTTTTAAATACATTTTTATAATAATACACGTATGTTACACTTTGCATGTGCCCCGTGAAACGAGTTCGTAGTACTTCATACCATACTTGCAAGCGGGCACAATCCAGGCGGTTCCGCACGTGCGGCAGACCGCCGGACCAGAGCCGCGCGGCGCACGAATGTGCGCCCGAGGACCAGTTACCCCCCCCCCCCCCCCAAAAAAAAAAAAACAAAAAAAAACGGCCCTGTCCGGTCCGGGGGGAGTGTCCGGTCCGGGGGGAGGGTGCCGCACGCGGCAAAACGGATAGGACCGGATGCTCGTCCGGTCCGTCTGCTTGCAAGTATGCTTCATACAAATCCAATTGCCGGTTCCTTTGCGTCATGCTTCATGTGAATCTCTGAGTAGCAACCGGCATCGTTTTTCCCTTTTATTATTATTATTTCTTTGAAAAGAAAGACCCGGTTTGCAGCAGGTGTAGCTCCCCACCAGTAGATGGAGCCTTCAGGTTGAGGGGCACTCCAGAGTGAGAGCTTGTATCACCTCCTCAAGTGGTCCCCTCCACCGAAGTTGGCTTTGAATCTGAAATATAATGATATGAGAGTTTGCTTCTGGATTAACTCCTGCCAATCACCTTTCCACCAATCTCTGTTTTTTTTGGGCGGGGGGACCATATCTCGATTAATGTATGTCATCATTACACAGGGGCCATGCCAATCTTCTGCATCGTTCCAATTCTAAAGGATGTCCTGAAGGACGCTTTTCCACCAATCTCTTTCCTGGAGGAAAGAAGGTTGGTCGTGCTGCTTCTTTTTTTTTTGCGTACGATCTGGGCTGTTTCCCTTTTGACTTTTTTTTTTTTTTTTTTTTTTTGAACCACCACTACCTCTGTCATATGTGGGGCCGCGGGCCTCAAATTCAAATTCGGCTGCCATGCGCCGTTGATGAAAAATATCGACGGCGGCGTGGCGGCTATTTTTCAGGAGTAGCCTAGTAGATGCCCACGGGCGACATATGGGAATGGTAGCGGTGGTTTAAGGAAGGTTGCAGTTTTATTAAAATCACGGAGGCCCGGAATTCCCCAACGTCCCAACCCGGACAATGCTGGGGCCATTACCCAGGACTGGCTTGAGCTGGAAATTTAGCGTCCCTATTTTTCTGCAACTTCAACCAAACCACAAACACAGGACAAATCAGCTGTTCGTCATGCATCTTTAATCTTACGCAAGGTCAGGTTTTGGTTTAGGGTTATTCTCACTTGTCAGGCCATCATTGAATCACATAGCACATCTGGCAAAGTTCGTTTCCAGTGGGACCTTGCTTGAGGTGAGGACGAAAAATGGGTCTAAATAACGTAGAGGGTGGATGAAGGAGACCGAGATAGGAGAAAGGACCACTCACTTCCTGATCGGTGGGGAATCGGGATCATCCCGGTTTCAGGCACAACAGGTGAGAAAGAAACCTGGTGTTTACTGCGCAAAAAAAGCCCTTATTACGCAGTGAACACCAGGTTTCTTTCTCACCTGTCGTGCCTGAAACCGGGAGGCTGTTTCTGGACCGGTTTGTCACAAAAAGCCCTTATTAAGTTATAACTGACCAAAAGTTTCCAGACCTATACACCTGTATGACAGAGGGAGGCTGTTTCTGGAATCTGGACCGATTTTTATTATTATTATTATTATTATTGTTTTTAAACAGAACCTTATGGTTCGGCTCCTTTTCCATTCTGGAGAGCATCAGTCTGGCGGTTCCTATTCCACCTGCAGTTGTCAATGAATAAGGAGAAGGAATACTCACCCGCGCTCATCCCCTCCCCATTATGGCAGGAAGTAGGAAGAGCCAAAGGACGGCACTGATTATTACTTCCCGCGCGAAGGATGCACCACCATTCACCCCTGCCTATTTGTTTTGTTTCGAAGGTTGTGCAGGCTAAGATATATAGGCAGGCCCTACCCTGTTCTGGGATATTGCACTATTCTACATTTCTCTCATTAATTCAACTGTGATCTACGAGTGGGGGCCATTCCTAGCTTGTACCTCTCATCAGATATTTGGCTGTTAAAATTGGTTTGAACTTTGTGGTACTTTGTACAGCCGGCTCCGCTAGCTGGCCTCTCTTTTACTGTTTTTTTGCCTACACCCTCAACCCTGCTGGACTCCTTCTGCTGTCTTTTCCTAACCCTTAGACCTTGGGACCTTGGGACCTTGGGACCTTGGGACCCTGGGCTCTGAGGAGGAAACCTTTTTCTAACTACAATCTTCCTCTTTTCTAGGCTCTAAAATTTCACTGCATGAAGGTAGGTACTAGGAAGCATTTGGAACTTCATGGGAGATATCCGAAGGGAAAATACCCCTGCGGCCCCGGTCTTGTAAGTGGGTGTATAGGTAGAATGAGGGCGTACTCACACTAGCAGTATCTCAAACGTATATGACCGCATTCACGGCCATAGCTTAATGTATCTGGCCGCAATTCCGTCCAAAAATGCGTAAAAAAGTCCTGGTGTGAGCGTGCTCTGAGGTGGGGTGACAGTCAAGCCCCTGTTTCGGAAGCCATTTGTCAGGGGCTTGCTAAGATTTTGGAACCCTGGAGGACCAATAGGGTTTGGAACTTTGGGACTTCGGGACTTTGGGATGGGATGCTAAGGATAAAGAGAGCCACAGGTAGACGATGGGTTGGAAGCTCTCCGACTCCTGAGTTTTTATCTATATCTATATCTATATCTATCTATACTCTTCTTAAAGGGAGCAGCGGGTCTCGTGTAAGGCGTCCCGCTGAGACCTTTTTCCCACGCGGGCCCGGCGCACCGTGGGCCCGGCGTGGTTTTTTTTTCGGCTGTCTTTTTTTTTTTTTTTTTTGTGTT